ATTAAGATGTTTGGCCTCTGGATCTAGGCAAGATTGAGCTCCAGGAGCTCAGATCTGTTAGCTTTATGGCCCCATGTTGCTTGTTAGCCCTAGATCTACCCTTTTAAGGCATTTTGAGCCCTAAAATCCATGTTGGTGAATATCCACACGTAAAGTTGGAAACTTTACGTGTAATTTGTGTCCTAGAAGTCCAGATCTATGAATGGCATGGACTGAAATCGAGCAAATCGGTGTATTTGGTGGATGCATGGCGGCGACTCGGCGAGTCTGGTCGCGAGTCACCGAATTGGTCCCTTCATGATGTATCGAGTTGAGCCGTAAGTCACAGGGGGTGACTCGGTGAGTTGGGAGCTGAACTCACCCATGTTAGGACTCGGCGAGTCAATGCCCTGACTCGGCGAGTCCAAGGCAATCTTCATAGATCAAGAACAGACTCGGCGAGTTGTTCATACAACTCGGCGAGTCTTAGCATGTGTGTTCTAAGGATGAAGATGAACTCGACGAGTTGTTCATACAACTCGGCGAGTAGGATGAAGGAGTTGAATGTCAGTTTAGAAGATGAACTCGTCGAGTCATAGCCCAACTCGACGAGTAGAATCAGGGACCCAGGACAATTGTCTGGACAGGGACTCGGCGAGTGGAGATCCACTCGGCGAGTCGGTCAACTAAAAGTTGACTCCGAATTGACTTAGGGCTAGACCAAGGGTAAAATGGTCTTTTTACCCAAAGGACAGTTAGCAGTGTATGATTAAGTATATTGTGGGAATTGCAGCCGGGGAGTTTCCGGAGCAGCAGCAGCAGTAGTAGGTGATCAATTCCCACACAGACCAGCAGCTATTTCGAGGTGAGTTTCCTTCCAGTAGTAACGGGTCTAAGGCACCAAGGTCGGCCCGTATAGACGAGAAATTAGTATTAGAGTGTGGGTCGAGCCCGTATCTCTTAGTTGAGTTGATTATGATATATGCCGGTATGATAGAATTATTTACACTTGTTGTCTGTGCGGTACTTGTATGATATGAGTTGGCGGTTGAGTGTGGGCGAGGCCCGTATCTCTCCGAGAGTGGAGTGTGGGCTAGGCCCGTATCTCCCAGATAGCGAAGTGTGGGCGGGGCCCGTATCTTCACGAGTGTGGGCGTGGCCCGTATCTCTCAGAAAGCGAAGTGTGGGCGGGGCCTGTATCTTCACGAGTGTGGGCGTGGCCCGTATCTCCTAATTGAATGTTGTTTGTTATATGCTTGCATGGTATGGGGTATTATGGGGGAGCTCACTAAGCTTTGTGCTTACAGTTTCAGTTTTGGTTTCAGGTACCACCTCAGTTAGGGGAAAGGAGCCGGCGCGGTAGCAGCATGTCACACACACACTCTCTGGTTTCCGCATTTACGAGCCTTTCTGGGATTGATACTCTGATATTCTGATTAGTTGTATATTTTGCTTTTCAGACATGGTTCAGTTTATATTATGGATGATCGAATGATGTTTTAGTTATTAATATTTTCTAACGTAACGTTTTTAAACAAAAAAAATTTTGATGTGAAAATTGGGTCGTTACAGAGAAGATTAGCATGGCCCCTGCGCAAGGATGACACACACAAATCGAGAAATGGTATCAGAGCCAGGGCACGGGTCGATGTGTTCGACGGGGACGTCGAACCCTATAATGGGGGGTGAAAGTGGGTTAGATCTGATCCCACATCGGCTGGGAAGGAGAACTAAGCATTCCTTATAAGGGGTGTGGATACCTTCCCTATCACAACGCGTTTTAAAGCCGTGAGGGCAGCAGGTCCCATAAGAACTCTGTAGTTAAGCGTGCTCGGGTGGGAGTTGTATCGTGATGGGTGACCCCCTGGGAAGTCCTCGTGCCGAGTGGCCCAAAGCGGATAATATTGTGATACGTGCCAGAAGGGGGTGTTACATTGCAGTTTACAAGTCGGTTGCACATTGATGCTGTGAAAACGGACTAGTAACTTGGTGTTATAAAACATATCATTGTGTGTGATTTGATGGGTAAATAGAGCAAACACATGAGTCGAAGTTTATCCATTCCTTTTAAAAACGATATATGTGGGACCTTCGATGATTTAGTGATGACAACCCTAAGCACTTAGCCTAACCTAGACAGACTTTATTTGTTTAATTAGTAGGTCGTCATAAATTGGAAATCGGTAAAAAACACATGAACAGAGAGAATGATTATAATCCATGTATCAGTTCATACGATATCTAGAATGGAGGAATATATGATCCTTTATCTTATGGACACATTACTAATAAGATCATAGTTTGACAACGGTCTTTTGAGAGCTACGATTGCTAATCGGATTTTGAAGTCGTACTTACAATTATAGTTATTAGACTTAACCAAGTGAGAGACTGTTGGATTAGGTGTCTACGCCCATAACTATAATTGGTATATACTTGACCCGATACAAGCATGGTCCATTGGCTTGTAACACTCTGGAATAATTTGATAGGATACATATTTGATAAAAAAGGTTATTGTGATTTATTAATATATTATAAGTATAATATATTAATTGAGAAATCATATTATTTAATTAGTATTGATTAAGAATTAATTTGGAATTAATTTAGTGATTAAAAGAGACTAATTAAATTGACGGGAACTGATTATGTAAATAAATGAGACATATTCTTTGGGCTAGTGATCCATGGTTAATTTGTAATGGGTTAAGCTTATGTGAAAGTCCATGATGTATTAGTTCATATAAGTTATGGATCATAAGACTAACTTTAAGAATTAGGGTTTGCTTATGACTCTTGGAATTCTACACTATATACGTATTCCTCTAAAGCCAAAAATCATGCACTAGTGATTCCAAGAAGCTTTAGACGATTTTTGTGTCTCCAAACCTCTCTCTCAAGTTCCTCCTCTTGTTCTTGATTTGTTATAATACATTTGAGGCATCACACTTGAGGTGCTAGGCTCTTGAAAGACCATTTCCTACAAGCTACAATTAAGATGTATTCTTCTAACTTACTTTTATGTTTCAATTACCAATATTATATGCTAGTTGTAGGTTTCAAGCTTTGGAAATTTTTGTTTCATGTATAACTAGAGAAAACTTAGATCCAAAGCTATTAGGGTTGTATGTGCACCATATGAGTGTTATAGTACATAAAACTCAACAGCTATATCATAAAAAATAAGCTTCCTATAAGGTTTTGGTGCATGGAAAGGGGTTAAGCTAGATAATGTGAGAAACTTTATGTCATTGGGGATCTAGAGAGGTCCAGATCTGGAACCATATCCTTGTGATAAGCCCAGTTCTGAGTTTGACTCCAACTTGCACTAAAAATGTTCATTTAGTTCCAAGAAAAGGGATCTAAGCAACTAGAGATCAAGGTCACGACTTTATACCTCAAGATGATACCCAATACAAAGTAGATGTTGGATCTACTGTTCCTCTCATTGCTCCTTCCTCTTCAAGCTCTAAAATCCTTCATAGAGGCACAAGTTTCACTCTTTAAGACTCACACACTCTCAAGGAAGCTCAACTATGCAGCCAGGGTTTCTTTATGGGGTACAAGGACAATGAGGGAGGCTGCAAATGAGCCATAAGCCCTTTAAATAAGGTGGTATCCCCTGAAGATTAAGGTTTCTTTTTACAATGCCTACTCGACAAGTCAGGCCTTCCAACTCGTAGAGTAGCATCCAAGTCCCGCGTCCTTGTAATAGTCTCTACTCGACGAGTTGGAGCACCCAACTCGCCGAGCCCATGCACAAAACCCTAAAAAAATTAGATAAATTGATTAATACCTGGAACAGGTGTTGCACATACGGTACTCGCCAGCTTTTCCTATCTCCCTCGAAACCTCTCTAAAATGCGAAGCAAAAAATGATCCCCCAGTTGTGCATTTCCCGTCCTCGAATCCTCTTAAATGTCAACCCAAACTTTTACGACAACTGGCTCTTCATGTGGAAGCCATGGTATCAGCTTTTTGTCTACTTGGTTGTGCGACACCCTTGTACGCTTGTTGTTTTCCTTTGCAGTGTTATGGGGGTGGTGTGGGTTGAGTTTCCCGAACAATCTCCTCAGCTGAGTCATCCAACTCATCGATGAGTTAGTATTGGGGTTGGGTTTGTGTTTGGGTTTGGGTTTGAGATTGAAAGAGTGGGATTTGAGTTTAAGGTTTATTTGATGAATGTTGATAAGGGAAAACAACAAAGTTTGAGAACATTTGAGGAGTAACATTTGTAACTTGGACGGGGTAAAATTGTCTAACATTTTGGCATTTGAATTGTAGTGGAGATTGAATGAGAGCATCGAGCTGGGGACGATAAACCCTTTGTGATGAATCGATAGTGAAAATGTTTCGAATAGGAGTGCTTGAACTCGAAACATTGTTTTTTTTCCTTCTATCAGAGATTGAGATTTGATTGTCAGGATTCATTTTTTTGAAGAAAGTATAGAGAAATTGATAAAAGAAGGTGTGAGTTTGAAGTTTAAAAGGTATGGGTATTTATAAATGTTGTAGACAGTAAAAAAATATTTAAATTAGGCTTGTAGTCGTTGAAACAAGAAAAAAAAATTATATTTCATTTTCTACAGTTTTTTAACGGCTGTGTCATAAAAAAAATTGATGGACCAATAGGAGGAAGAGAGAGACAACGACACCCCTCCCCCCACCTCTTTCCCGCACCTGGTTTCCCTTACTGGCAATACGATGTTCCAGTTAGCAAGAAGCACCCCACCCTTCCCTCCCGCACACACTCCGTCCGATTTAACCAATTAAAATCGTTAACCCAAACTAATATTATCTGTTATCCAATGGTTATCGAAATACATTAACCAATCTGATTTTGACCAATAATCAAACCTAATCATCTCATATACACCCCGCTTTAAACTTTGTATCAAATTATTATACTCTTCTTAAATCGGCTATTTTAATCATAAAAGAAAAGAAAACCATAATGATCAACTAGATAACATGTGCAAACTCATTTTTAAGTGATTTCACAACATAAACCGGTTGAACAAACTCGAATAGCACGTGGATTATAAAAAGGAAAGAAAAAATGTTAAAAGGACGAACGTTCAAACAAACAAACCCAAATGCATAGAAAACGGAAATAATATAAAACAAGAACCATAGGTACAACTACTGCCACGTGCATTGTCCTTCAATGGCGATCAGATTTTGGTAGATCACCCTTTCACCCTACCCTCCTTCGGTCCTTCCTCATAAGCAGCAGCTGCCGCTGCTCATCTACCCCAACTACACGCCTTTAATTTCATCAAATCACATTTGCAGGACTTACTTAATTCATGATCTATACTGTGGGACCTCATTGAGTCATTAGTTTCCTTACCCATAAATCCTTCCAACCATCCGCACATTTCTTCGAATCTCATTTTCCCAGATCTCAGAATCTCGTACTTCGCATTGTTTTCTCCGCTTCCCCATAAAATTGCGTCACTCCAAGTAGCTTGCAGCTTCTAGTTCCTAATCTTATCACCGGAAAGATGAAGGTGCTCGTCACCACTCGGAGCGGAAGAGAATTAATCGATGGTGGCCTCGTCCTTGATAGCTCTGTAAGTTTAATTTCACTTGTATTTCCGTTTGTGTGATTCTAAATATATTTTGGGGGTTTCGTGGTTGTGACTAGTTTTTGGGTTCTCCCAGGCTACCGTGGCTGATTTGCAGGAGGCAATTCATAAGCGAAGTAAGTTTCCTTTGTAAATAAATCGTTGTTTCAATATAAGTATTATATATCTATTCGTAATTACTACGAACTATATCCTTCCTTTTGATTGGCAAGTACTTCCACCTATCAGATCCAAATAATTTCAGTTTTGAAATTTCAAAAAGTAAATGAATTAGATAGTTTAGGCGCAGAAACAGAGAGAATTAGGGCATACGATTCAGACGATTTGGTTTTAGACTTCCATTCACATCATACTTTGATCTCACACAAATCTTATATCAACAGTCAAGAAATACTACCCTTCAAGACAACGCCTGACCCTACCCCTCCAGCCAGGGTCCAAAGAAAAGCCGGTTGTCCTCCAATACAAAAAAAGTCTCAAAGAGTACACCACTGGAAACCCCAATTCAGACACCATAACTGTAGTCTTCAAGGACTTGGGCCCACAAGTCTCATACAGAACTCTCTTCTTCTTCGAGTATCTGGGCCCACTCATCCTCTACCCCCTCTTCTACTACCTCCCAGTATACCAATACTTCGGGTACAAACTCGAAAAACGTGTGATCCACCCTGTTCAAACAATAGCAATGTACTATTGGTGCTTCCATTATTTCAAACGCATCATGGAGACCTTCTTTATACATCGATTCAGTCATGCGACTTCACCTCTTTCAAATGTGTTCAGAAACTGTGCTTATTACTGGTCTTTCGGGTGTTACATTGCTTATTATGTTAATCACCCGCTTTACACACCTGTCAATGATCTTCAAGTGAAGATTGGGTTAGGGTTTGGGTTGATTATGCAAATTTCAAATTTGTATTGCCATGTCATCTTGAGGAATCTTCGTAGCCCGAGTGGGAATGGAGGGTATCAGATCCCACGTGGCTTTCTGTTTAATATTGTCACATGTGCCAATTACACAACCGAGATTTATCAGTGGTTAGGGTTTAATGTTGCTACACAGACTGTTGCGGGTTATGTGTTTTTGATTGTTGCTGCTTCCATTATGACTAATTGGGCCTTGGCTAAACATCGTCGTCTCAGAAGGGTAATTTTCTTCACCTTTTTAAGTTGTTCTTTTTGTATTGATTTAAAAAAAAAAAAAGAAACAAAAATTAAATCTATATAGCTGTTGCTCTGATAGACTGATACCATGTTTTTTTGTTGGCAGTTATTTGATGGGAAGGAAGGACGACCTAAGTATCCTCGCAGATGGGTGATATTGCCTCCATTCCTGTGAGCGAAACTACAGGTGGCATGTGAATGTGACGTGTCTCATTTTCATTGGCTCTGGAGTATCAGATGGATTTGGTGATGTTACTTATGAGTTCGTTTTAGTCCTAAAAGTTTTACATGTGTACTTGCCACAACTCTTATCAGATGGCTTATTTGTGTTGCTAGTTTTGAGTTTTTCTTTTTGTTAAATCTCTGGATCTTTCCCAAATTTATGAAATCTTGATTTGGGTTTATTTTTTTAATCTGTTGGCTAAATACAGATATGGTTATTGATGCTTTAATAGTTGTTGGACAATAGTAGGATACAAGGACCACTCACATTGCAAAAGGAAACAACAAAATAGACCACTATTATTTTATTTTATTTTTGAAATCCAACACGCAAGTTATGTATAAAATGGTTTTGATGAATAGCATGTTAAACGATGACGTGTTTAGTTTTGTTTCGATTGATTGTAAGTTTTGTACTTTTGTTGCAATGAATGTAAGGGTAAGTGAGATACGTTATCCATACTATAAAAAGGATAAATAATGAAGATGAATTATGTTTACCTAGAATATTAGAACAATTTTTATGGTGATTGAAAAACATACATGACAAAATACAATCAATATATTTTGTAATTAATTTAATATAATAATTGATCTGACAATGAATAATTTTATAATACAAAAATATGAAAAAATTATATTTTATAGATGATAGTAGGCGTGCAAAAACCGGTTTTTTTTTATGAACCGGACCGGTTCAGAAAACCGGTTCGGTTCAAGTCCAACAAGTCAAAACCGGTTCACACCAAAACCGGTTCGGTTCCAATCCGGTTCACCCCAAAAATTATTCGAACATATTTAAACCGGTTCGGTTTGTTCAAAACCGGTTCAACGAAAACCGGTTTTTTTTTGAGCTAGTAAGTGTAAAATAGGAATGGGTTTTTTATTTGTTTAGAGTATAAAGCTCTTTTGAGCTAGTAAGTGTAAAAAACCGGTTCAAAATCGGTTTACAAATAGGTTCAAAAAACCGGTTCGAAACCGGATCACACATTAAAAAGGGCGAATTGGTTCGGTCCGTAGGTTCGGTTCTTCGGGGGTTCGGTTCATGCATAAACCGGTTCAGAGGAAAACCGGTTTCCGGTTCACTAACCGGTTCGGTTTGTGAACCGGTTTTTTTGGACATCCCTAGATGATAGCAACTGATAAACTAACAAATAAACTCTAAAAAGTATAACAGTATGAACTATGAACTAAGGTTGTGGGCCTTGTGGGCTTTGGGTACACTTAGTTTGATATCACATCAAATGTGTCGTTAATTTTCTTACTACTTAACACCTAACCTACGAAATAAATCAAATAAAATAATTAGCACTTCTCATTATCACATCTCTTTTATTTTCTAATTATTTAAATACAAAATATATAAAATAAAAATTAAATTAAAAAATTAAAAAAATTAAAAAACAACATTAATAAACTTAAAGAAAATACATTAATCAAGTTTAAAAAAATTACATCAATAAACTTAAATAAAAATCACATTCGAGTTATAATACTTTTATGAATTTCCTTTTCGCCGTTAACGTCATTCCAAGATTAATCGATAAAAACATTACTGATCGACATCTTCACATCTCGCTTCCTTTTTAAGCATCATTTTATCCTTGTGCAATTAATAGTTTAATACTCCTCAAACTTTTCCTTATAAAAGTTTAACTCATTTGGTTCAAATATGTTTATCCTCGAACACGTTGTAGCTCGTTATCCTTTATCCCTTCCAACCGACCGTCGAAAGGGGTTCTTCCAGTGCAATCTCGTCGACATCATTATTGTGGTTGATCGTATTACAGGTACCTGACGTTTGTGTTTACCCGTTTGTTTCAGACGTTTTAGAACGTTTATTGGATTCGGTTGATTGCATAAGTGCATCCGCCTTAAGGGTCTATTTTGAAATCATTTTGAGAATTTCCCATGCTTTGTGATGGGTACATGCTTCACCTTTGTGCTCGTTCCATTATTGTTGGATAACGGTATTTAAGATGTAAAAACCGTTTCTTCCATTTTTATACATGTTGGTAGCATCATTGAAAATGTTGTTGAAGTTGATACAAATAACCTCAAATTGAGTAATTTAGAAGATAGAAGGTTGTTATTCCAATATTAAATATCGTTTTCCAATTCTGTGTGGAAATAATCTAAAACTCGTTCCCCAAAACTTCTAGTTGATTGGTGGTTCCCGGATAGTTATCTTGAGAGATGAATACACAATCACGTATTAACGTAGCTTCTTCACCTTCGGACCAACTCCTAAGACTACTAGGTGTGGGCAACATGTTATTACATGTTACCACACCCAAAACGTGTCATGTCAGAGTCCTATTCATACATGGGTGTTATAACACCCAATGTGGAAATGGACAACATCTACTAACATGTGATTACACCAATAAAACTTGATTTTTTTATGTTAGCGTTTGAAACAAACGGTTGAAATTATGGCGGTTGAATAAAAACACAAGCAAAATCGCGACGTCACCTCCTGTTTTCACCATAACGCGTCATAACATAACACCTAATAACAGTTAGGGGCCGGTGTTCCTCCCGTTATGACGCCGTTATTAGGTGCCATGTCACCTATTGTAACATCCGGATTTTACCAGGTATATTGTAATCCAAAATTTTGTTATATTGTGAGAGGGACTCGGCGAGTTGGAGCTCAGACTCGCCGAGTAGGGACGCGGGTTTGAACATTGGTGCGCGCCTGGACTCGGCGAGTCCATGATATGGACTCGGCGAGTTTGCGCTGTGTAATGAAACCCTAAATCTCCGGGTTTGAGGCCTATTTAAAGGGCCTTATGGCCGTCATTTGTGCTCACCCAACCCTCAGTGAGTGTCCCTAGAGTTCTTGAGCGATTTGTGAAGAGAAGAGAGCCATTCTTGATCTTGTGGGTGTTGTTTAGCAAGAAGAAGGAGACCATAGGCAAGAGGAAGCAAAGGAGGTTGCTATTTCGTGGATTTGGAGCTTAGATCATCACTCTAGAGGTATTATCTCGGACAATTTTCTGTTTAGTGAAGCATGATGCAATTTAGGGCTTGTGATGGTCATTTATGGGATGATTTGATGCCCATTGGTTCCCTCCTTGAGTTGAGGCCATGGATCTGGATCCATAGAGGTCCAGAGAGCCTCACTCATCAAGCTTTATGAGTGACAATAGAGTCTTTGACCTTGTGTTGTAGTATTTGAGTCATAAACATCATATATGGTCATATAGAGGTTGTATGTGCATCAAGATTGTAACTTTACGTGCTAAATGAGCTTGGAGGGACTGGATCTATGGATTAATGAACTGGATCTGACCTTTAGAGCAAGATTGAGTCAGTGCATGGCATGGACTCGCCGAGTCCGAAGAACAGACTCGGCGAGTAGCATGAATGTTGCCCGACCACTCTGTGAGTGGCCTCGTCGAGTTAGGAAAGGTGAACTCAGTGAGTCAAGGGGGAGTCAGAATGGACAGGTGGACTGAGTTTAACTGGACTCGCCGAGTTGTTCTTGAGACTCGGCGAGTTGAGTCGTGGTGGCCCCACAACTCGTGCCAGGTGGAACTCGTCGAGTTGAGGGAATGCTCGACGTGTCGAGAGAGGATTCCAAGGAAATTGGTGTATACGCCCAGACTCGCCGAGTCGCCTGGGTACTCGCCGAGTCCGGTCAAAGTTGACCGTTGACCAGCGTTGACCTAGATTGACTTGTTTCAGTGTGGTCAACCCTAGTTGGGAAAGTGTTAATTAGAGGTGTATTGTGCTATAGGGGGGCGACAGCTCGACAGGTCGAGTGATTAGCGATTTCAGGTTTACGATTTACCGAGACACGCGAGGTGAGTCTTCTCACTATACTTTACCTTGAGTAGGTGATCAGAGTTATGTGATAGAGTATTTGTATGCTATGTATGTTATGTGTTGTACTGCATTACTTCTATGTGATTGATGCTGTGCATGTTTACAGAGTTAGAACCGAAAGGTTCACAGAGTTAGAACCTGAGGGTTCACAGAGTTTGGGTGCACGGACCCACAGAGTTATAGCCTCGAGTGGCTAATATGTGTTATATGTAGTATTTTGGGGAACTCACTAAGCCTTGTGCTTACAGTGTTGATGTTATTGTTGCAGGTACTAGTGACGACCGCGGGAAGGCGCCGGCTTGATCCGTACACACACACATTCGGAGCTTGATATCATGAACTTGGGGATTTTATATTGTCTTGTTTGGATAATTAAAATGGTTGTTTAATGAATATCAATGGAATTATGTTTTTAAAAAATTGAAAAAAAATTGTTTTGAAAATTTGCGGTGTTACAAATTGGTATCAGAGCCTTGGTTTGAGGGATTCGGGTACACCTTCGGGGGTATTTGAACTCAAACTGAGGAATTGAAGAGATATTTCAAAATAAAACCAAGGTTTTCTAAGAGTAAAAGATTTTCCAGGAAGAAACGTGTGTACGATCAGCCAGCGCCCGAACGGTGAATTCCCAAAATACCTTTATATTATGTGATAATTATTATTAATGTGATGTATTTGCATGCTAGAGTAGGCTAGGTATTGCTAATAGGACTAGAGTGGCCTGTTTTGTGATGCCTTAGCCTAGGGAGGGGTGAGCTGCTATGAGATGCTGAGAGTAATTAGGTAGCAGCTAGGACTTCGTGTGAGACCTGTTACAGAGCGATTCAAGTATAATAGAGTACTTGGGGATTGGGATCCGAAGAGGAAGATTTGGGGTGTGTACTGAGACGGTGCGGACAGTAGTATTGGGCCCGTACTACTGAAAGCACCGGTGCGGTACACAGTCCAAATAAGAATCTTGGGATACCAAGAATCAAGGAGGGGTGGATTGTCGAATGTAAGAGTGTTCGAGTAAATTCTAATTATCGCATGTTGTATTTCAGAGGTTGATCATGGTGAGGACACGTCACATGCCGGAGGATGCCGGACTAGCGATGAGGAGATTCGACAGATCATTCATGAGGAGGTGGCTGCGGTCATCAGAGCTGAGTTACCAGAGATGTTCGGGTCCATTAAGACCGCGTTGATTGAGACATTTGACGAGCGCTATGCCGCTCTTTCTGAGGCTGCGGTTGCAGCGGCTACCGCAGCGATTGCTGCGGCAAGACCCCAGGGAGGTGATGCGACATTGTTTAGGGAGTTCAGCAACACCAAGCCACCAGAGTTTGATGGTACGCAGGATCCGGTGGCAGCTATGAGGTGGATATCTGATATGGAGGGATGCTTCTTCACTTGCTCGTCCCCTGAGCATTTGAAGGTTCGGTTCGCGCTGAACCAGCTTCGCTTGGGAGCGAAGGACTGGTGGAAGTTTGTGACGGCACACTTCACACCGACTGAGCTTTCGGCAGTGACCTGGGAGAGGTTCACTACCATGTTCCGAGATGAGTACGTTCCTCAGGTGGAGAGGGAACGTCTGACACAGGAGTTTCTGACCCTCAAGCAGGGTACCGAGTCAGTCACAGCTATTACGAGGATGTTT